TTTTTAAGAACTTGCTTTGTGCCAGCACACACTCTGCTCCCTGGCGCTTCCTAGCTCCCGCTTGGGCTGTGTCACTTGGGAAGGGTTACCGCACTCCGGCCCCGCTCCTGGGCTGCCTTGGCAAGCAGATAGGTGGAAGGTGGTCTGCCCCCCCCAGATGTTGGCTAGGAGTTAGGGGTCCCCCCTGACCGGGCTATTGTTTTATTCAGTGGCAGGTCATGGCAGCTCCTGTACAGCCTTGTAAATTTGAGGGGTTCAGGCAACTGGGGAGGAAGAACACGAGGCGAGTCCTTACTCTTCTTCTGCTCATCTAGGCTGATATTTGGACACAAAGACAAATGGCAGTACGGCAGTCTTTCCTTGCCATCGCCTACCTTTGTTTGCTTGCTTGCTAGCTTATATTTCTACCCTGCCTATCTGGTGGCAAGCGGCTGCTCATAATGTCTTCCCCCCCCGTACAGATGGGCAGATATTTCTCTCTACCCAGTTTCCCTGCTTTTGCAAGGCCCACCCTCGGGTGCAGGCATCTCTGATCAAGCGGCACCCTTTCCATGCAATTTCTCTCTCTCTGGTTTTGAGGCCACCCTCTCCTGCTCCCCAAAAGGGTGAAATGCTCAGAGCTGAAATCAGCTGGGCTCCCAACCCCTAAACTTGGAGAGGGAGCCGGGTCCCCCGCCCCCCCAGTCATACGTACTTCGTCTTTGCCTTTTGCCCTTAAGGGTCCTGATGCTGCTTCCGCCGCCGTTCTCTGTGAGATCCACCCAGCTTAGAAAAACCACCACCACGCACAGTCCAAGCTGCATAGTAACTCGCCGGCAGCACGGCCCCTCGAAGGCAGGGTGGCTGGAAGACTCCGGTCCAGAACTGGCTTTTGGGGGTGACAGCCCTGCTCCTAGGATGCTTGGGGCTTGGTCAGAACCACGAGTCTGTGCCCGGTGCCCAGCCAGAAACCATCTTTGTGAACCAAAGTCTCGCCCATAGAAGCATTAGGTGGCAGATAACAGGATTCTGTTTTCAGCCCCGTAAGGAGTGTGGGAGGTTGCAGGTAAGAGTCCCATCTGGCTGGCCTTGCGCAGCGTGCACAGTGCTGCCTGATATCCTCGCGCCAGGAAGCTGAAAGGGTAAAGCACAAGTTAACTCCATGGGAGGCATAAGACTCCGTATCACATCATTCCCTCTCCTGTGCTCTGAGTACTTAGGCAAACTCAGTGGCTTTCAGAAAGGCCTCCCCAAGATTTTGGAACCCCAGGATCTTAAGCGCATTGATTATTTCATTCCTGTCCCATCTTTTCTGCAATGCAGAGACCCAAAGTGACTTTCAGGAAGGATCGTTAAGAGAATCCAAGAGCTATACATAATAGTAAAATGCAATTAAGCGTACAGTAATAAATACACAGACCAGCAACTTAAAACACAAACATTGGAAGAAAGCATTTAAAGGGGCGGGCTGGCTGGTCGGTTGGTCAGTTGGAAGGGAGTAGCCCATTCAGTTGCCAACTCTTGCCTCAAAGGAAAGGTATTTTCCTGCCAACAGAAGGACAAGGGGAGAAGTGGGGGGACCTTGCTTCTTGTGGAAGTCTGTTCCGCAGACTGGGAGCTACCAGCAAAAAAGGCCTCAGGCCTGTGACGGCAGTGAGAGGAAAGGCGCTCAGACCTGAGGAGGCCTTTCTGAACTCAATTGGGTTTGTCCGATGCTGCTTTTAGCCTCTGTTGCCCCCTCGTACCATAACGGGGTCTTCCATGACAGGGGAGAGGAGAAGGAGGAGGAGAATTCAGGTGACAAAACTGGAACAAATGTGTGAATCAGTGGAACAGCCAGCTGTGAACCGTGTTAAGCCTGAAGACCTGGAAATCCCTCCCCCCCCCCAGCATTCGACTTTGCTTTTCTTTGCTCACAAGATGCCTGTGCAACACAGCAGTTCAACAACCCAGTCAACAGTCATGAGACGCGAGCGGGATGTCTCTGCTTGATCCTTCTCTGCATTTCATGGGGTCCAGCCCTGTGGAGACGGGACGGGGCCTGTGGCAGCGATGCCAGCCGCCCTGGGCAGCAGGACAGAGGCTCCAAAGATTGCCCGGGGGTGGGGGGGCATGAAAAACAGCGGGCAAAGGAAGCCAGCAGGGCCCGAGCAAGCAAAGGCCGGCTGAAAGAGGGAGAAGAGCCGCCTGGCATTCAGGGCCCTGCACCAAACCCAGGGAGCAGAGCCTGTGCTCCCCCCACCCCCCACCCACCCCCCACACTCTCCAGGCCGTTGTGGCGGCTGCCAGATTGCCTTGGCCTCGCGCATGTGTTTGCAGCACTTAAAAGAGTGACGCACCCTCCTTAAATGTGTCTTGTGTCCTGCGTGGAGACTTCAAATAAACAATCAGATGCCTGGGCAAATCCTGCTGCCCTTTGGCTCGGAAGGCGGCTGGACGTCCACCCCCCCGGCCCCCGGCCCGGCCCGGCCAGTTCTCTCAGGCAAGCCTGCGTTCCTCTCAGATGAAAGGGAGGACCGGGAGCGCTCCAAGTTCTTGCCCAAAGGAGAACAAGATGTGGCTGTTGGCAGACCCTCCTTTTTTGGGGGGGGGATCCAGCCCTTGGGAGCCCCCAGCGGGACACAGGGAGGGAGTGGCAGGTTCCCTTGGGGCTGCGCCAAGTGTACAGGCAGGGTCTTCGTGGCCACGAAGGAAGCTGTGAGGAGGGTCCATTGGCAGAGCCCCTCGGGGAAGGGCCCTGAGGACCGACCCGAGGATGAGCTGCCTGGCTCTGCTGTCAGGGCCTCCCCCTCTCCGTGTTGTCCGGACTCTCCTTGGGAGGTCAGCGGCCGGAATGGATGAGCGGCACATCTGCACACTGAGATCGGCTGCAACACCAGCGGAGCATCAAAACTCTGCTCCTGCCACCACCGCAGTCCAGCCGTCCGGGCCGACTTGGGCAGGCTCTCCTCTTGGACGGGTCTCCCAGAATTTCTCTGCTGGCAGCCATCATGAAGCCCCAGCAAAAAAGGGGGGCCTCGGGGGAGCGCTGCCCACTAGCAGAGATGCCCGCTGTCCCAGTGAGCAGCCTTGGCAGTGCCTCCTGCCCACAGGCTGAGGGGGGAGGGAGGGAGGAAGGAAAGAAGGAGGCGCCCCTTCCGCCTGCCAGGCCCCAGCCATGGACCTGCCCTGGGGCACAGCCCCGTTTCAGCACCCAGGAACAGATTCCCTGGTGAAGTGTGAAACGCCTTCTGCCAGAAGCAGCCTCGCTGGAACATCGGCCAGAGAACGGCTTTCATAAATAGAGATTTTAATAAATTCCTGCAAGCCAAACAAGTCCCACGCCAGCTCGCTTCCCGTGGTGACTCATCCCATGTTTACATCCAGCGCTCTCCCCTTGCCTGGGCTGGGCTCTCCCCCCCCCACTCCCCACAAAGAATGTCGGAGGCAGCCTCTCTCTGAATGCGCAGGCATGTGGGGTGCCCTGGAGAGGGGGTGGCGAGGGTGCAGGGCAAAAGGTGCCCCCAGAACTGCCTGGGTGCATCTCTCATGGCATAACAAGGAGGGCCCCTTCCAGCAGGCGTGCCCGTGCAGATAGGAAAGGAGCGGGATGCCGAGCGCCAGCCTGGTGGCTGCAGGGGAAGACTCTGGCTTTTCAGGGTCCCCCCCTCCTTAGCCATGGGGCAGGAGGAGGAGGGGGTGGGGTCGAAGTGGCCCTTCAGCTGCCCTTTGCCAGCCCTGTCACAGCCAGCAGTTTCTCCCCCAGCTGGCAGAGTTTAGCTCTGGGACCTCTTTTCGGCTCTGCTTCGAGCAGGAATTGAGCAGAAGGGGCCCTGCGGCCCGGAGGTCACCTCCGCTCTCCCTCAGACGCCCCTTCCTCCACACCAGGAGGTTTTGACAAGAAAAACCTTGAAGGGCACACAATGTTGGCCCAAGGCTGGTTTGGATCACCGTGCTCCCCCACCCCCACCCCTGCCTTGTAGGCATGATGTAAATGGAGCTTTTCACCTTCTCTCCTCCTCGCACACCCCTGCCCACGAGCCCCTCTCTGGCCGTGGCCCTGACCCCTCTCATCCCCTCTGGCAAATGGCCTCCCTTTTGCCCCAGCCTCAAGGTCCAGCTTTTCAGGCTGGGAAGAGGGAGAGCAGCCCCCACGAGAGAGTCATTCTTCCTCTAACCTCCTCTCCCCCCCCCACTTGGTGCATGAGGTCACTGAACGCAGAGAAAAAGCCCTGAGCCGGGAAGCCGTCTCACAGCGCCCACCCGGCGGCGGAGAAAGCACTTTGTTCCGCTTAATCCTCTGAGCCGTAAAAGCGGGCTGGGCTCTGTTGTGTTTCCTACCCAGAAGGTCTACATTTGGTTTTGATAGCAGCTCTGTAAAATCTCAAATCATAAACTGAAAGCGCAGAAAAAACGCTGACCGCTGGGTTTGCGGCCATCTCGCTGAGCTCTGCGTCCCTCCCTGGCTTCCGAGCTTCTGCCGAGCCTCGGGGGGGGGAGGGGGGCGCCGGCCACAGGCTGCGCATCCTCCTCGTAGCCACACAGCCGTGGCCCTTAACATGTGTACAAGTGTGGGCCTGTCACGAGCAAAGACCTCTCCTCAGACCGTTGGTCCCCGTTCATTCTTAGCTGGAGACCTCTAAACGCTGGCCTCCTCCTCGTGCCTGCTCTACCCGCCCAGCCGCCCACCCTAGGTGACTACGTTGGCATGTTTTAAAGTAGGGGGGAAAGTGAGCAAGTGTGAAGGTGAGCGCTCATGAGGTGGACCCTGGAGAAGTGGGTTCCAATCCCAACTCAGCCACAGAAGCCCAATGTGGGGTGGAGGAGCGTTGAGCTAGGAGGACCCTGGAGAAGTGGGTTCCAATCCCACCTCAGCCACAGAAGCCCAATGTGGGGTGGAGGGTGGCAACAGCAAACCACTCCTTGAGCATCTCGCCAATCTCGAAAAACCCCCACAGAGTTGCACTACAGTTGGAAGCCCGTGGAGCGCAGAGAACAGCAACAAGGTGGGGACGCTCCAGAGAGGTGCAAAACAAAGCAGGGCCCCGTCCTCGCCCAGTGTGGGGACAGAGCTAAGCGACCCCGTGACTCCAAATGGAGGGCTGACCCACCACCACCAACTGAGAGGACTTGATATGATGGCTGACTGGTTGCATGCATGGGGGGGGGCGAAGGGGGGCTCTCGGGACCCAGTGAGCAGGACGGCTGTTCCTTTCCTGGAGGCAAAGACCCGGTTGCTGGAGTGGACCTGAGTCTCCACTCTCATCGGCCAGAACCCTTCTCCCCATTTCCAGAAGATGGAGCCCCACTATTTCGACCAGCTAGAGGGGGGATTTGCTGCTTGGGTAACAGCCTATCCTCCAGACTACTTTATGCTCTGGAGAGGACACTTCTCGATACAGAGCATGTTACCATCGTCTCTCGAGACTGAAGGATGCCTACGATGGTGATAGAACCCCATCAAGCCTTGATCTTGCTCTGGGTCGGGACCCCTCTGGGACCAGCCTCCCGAGGGATGCTGAGGTTCAGGCTCGACTCGGCCACCTTCAAAGATTGGAAGGAAGGAAGATGGGCTGAGCTCGCCCCACAGGACGCCCCGACCGAACCTGGCACTAAGGGCTTTTCAGCAGCAGGATCCGTCCCTGTGGTAAGCGGGTAGCTCTCCAAAGAGAGAGAAGTCGGCTGGAACGCAGGTAACACGTGGGTATCACACGCAGGCGGAAGGAACAGCCCTTGGGGGGTCCCGTCCATCCCTGCCCGACTTCAATGAGGTGGTCGCAGGAAGCGGCTGCCCTGTTGGCCCCTGAAGAGACGCAGAGGGTTTTGGCCCCACGGGCAGCTTCTCCCCTGGGAGAAGACACCCGGAGTGCCCGGGCGCACCCTGCCAAGGCCCCGGGCAGGACCCACTCATTGGTCGCTGTCCTGGTTTTGGAGCCAGGTGCTCAGTAAAGGGCGAGCGGCCGGCCAGGCCCAGCGGCCGCTGCCAAAACAGCGCATCATCCCTTCCAGGCGATGGTTTGGTGGAAGTCATTTGGGGGGTGGGATCGGGTGATTTGAGAGCTTGGTGGCTGTGTGTGCGCGCGCGCTTCAGGCTGCTGTGGCACTTGCCTGGGCTTCATCCTCTCAGCAAAAAGGGAGCCCCAAGGAAGGGGAGAGGCTTCCTTCGCTCTCTGGAAAGGAAAGGCCCGTGGTTCCAGGCTCCCCAGCCTTCCCGAGGGATGGACCGTGGTTTTGAGGTTGTGCTTTTTTTAAGTGCCACTCCTTCCTCCTTGCCTCCAAGAGGTGAGCCCCTGCCTGCCTGCCTGCGAGGCTCCCGTGGGTCTTCCTGTCGCTCTCGCCCCACTTCCCAGAGCGTGGTTCCTGGTGCTCCTTCCCGAAGCCCTGTGCCAGGTGGCCCCTTCTAGGTAGGCAGGCAGGCAGGGCAACCCCATCGGTGGGTGAGGTCACAGCACCCGCTTCCTGCCGGTGCCCCCCTGCTGCCCCTACCCCCAGGAGGGAGCAGTGGGAATGTGGAAGGGGCCCCGAGGCCCCTAGGGGCAAGGCAGCCGCCCGCCTGCCTGCCTCTCACGCGGAAGGGGAAGGCCTTCCTCTCCATTGTGGCTCTGACTTTTGCCAGCCAAATGATGCCCACCTCCCTGCTGTGCCCTATTTAACTATAGGGCCACTGAGAGCCCCCCTCCTCCCCCAAAAGGTCTCCCTCTTTGGGAGGGAGCAGCCTTTCCACCCCACAGGGCCCAGGAGGCATTTCTGCGGCCAGGGAGCACCCTCTCCCGTGCCCTGGGGCACTTCTGCAAGGCCTCTTCCCTCATGGGGAGCAAGGTGGGGGCCACAGAAACAAGTGGGACCCCTCTCTGAATGGGACTGCCTTTGGGCCCCACCGAGCCCTTAAAATGCAGTGACACTTTTACACTCTGAGAAAGCGGAAGCGGGCGAGGTGGCGCGGCTGGTCTCGGAGGGGGGGCACACGGAACTCGCGAGCACTCCTGGCCCAAGAGGGTCGCCGGCTTGAATCAGACCCGGCCGTGGAAGTGGAGGCCTGTGACGGAAACGGTGGTTGCGCTCCATGGGCGGCAGCTGTGCCTCTGCCGACGGTCGGAAGTGCTCCTTCCAAGGATGGGGGTGTCTCTAGATGTCTGGGGGGGGTCACGTTCTCCCCTGAGTCCCCCCAGCATGTCTTCTTCTTGGCTACCACTCGCGCCTGGTTCCACAGGGCTGACAGGCCAGCAGTTCCATTTTGGGAACTGCAAGAGGTCTCTCTGGGTGCCAGCCCCGGATCCCGATGTTCAGGGAGAGGCTTGTGGCAAGGCAACAGCGTGGTCGTCCCTCCATCACAGCTAATCGCCTGCTTTCCCTCCCGAAACATGCATTCGCCCTAAACACCTCTAGAACAGACCAGCCGGGCTGAACGGTGGGGAATACGCCCAAAAGCCGCATGGAGAAGGTCCTGGAGAGGGGCAGAGTTTCCGTTGGAAGGTGCCTGCCCACAGCTGGTCCCTAAGCAGACACGCCATTTGTGTTTCCAGATCATTTCCAACCACTGGGCCAGGATTAAGCCAGAAAACTCAATGCCTCGACTTAATAGCAAGAAGCCAGCCCCCCCCCCGTGACCCCTTCAGTGGCGGCTTCCCGGCACTGCCTGGCATGGGGTCCGCATGGCTTCTGAAGCAACCCGGTGAAAACACTGCCGACTGACCGCCTTGCTGTAGCCGCCCCACCGAGCACACACGCCTTGCGACATGCCTTACCTCAGAGCCGTCAGTAGCCCGCTGTTGCTTCCTCAAGGAACTTCTGCGGCGCTCCTGGTCGGACTCCAAATTCATCCGGGGTTGGAATCATCCACACCTCGCCAGAAAAAGTTGCCCAGCAGAAGCTTTCTCCTTAGTGTGGGTGAAGGATGATGTTGGTTTGCTGGCTTGCTTGTCTCTTCCCTCTTCCTCCTCCTCCTCCTCCTCCTCCTCCTCCCCGGGCCAGGTAACTGCCAGCCTGCCAAATTCCCTGCCTGGCGTGCGCTGGATCCCAAAGGCTGTCTGGGCTCGTTCCTATTCCATCAGCCCACACGGCTGCCCGGGTTTGCTGAGCCCAAGAGGAACATGATCATCTCTGAGCAATCTGCCCCGTCGTTAGCGCCTGGTTTGGGTGCCCTGGGCTCCAGCTGCGCTTTGCCTCAGGGGCTTCTCTGGAGCTCCGTTGCTTTCCCTCTTGGAATCCCTCTGCCTCCAGTGCTGGCTTCCCAAAGGCACCCAGCTTGCAAACTCCAGCAGAAGGGAATCCCACCTCCTAAGACAATATCCTGCCAAAATGTTGTGACGGAAGCAAAACCTGGACTGGAGCGTGCAGGGCTCAGCCTCCAGCTGGCCGCACAAGCTCCGTCGGTCGCCAAAGGGGGGCGGGAGACCGGAGGGAGGGTCTCCTTGGCCTCTGGCTTCCTCAGAGAGGGGCCTCCACAAGGATGGGGGCAGAGCCAGGGTGGGAGGAGGCACCTGGAGCTGCTTCGTGGAAGGTGTCACTCCCGGGGGGGTTCGGAGGGGGGCTGCCTGGTGGGCCCCCCCATGGGAGAGCAGGGCAAGGTGCTGCGAAGGAAGGGAGGCATGTTGGACAATGTGGCCCAGGGAGGAGACCCCTGTGGGCCCTCGAGGTTGACCCCGGGGACAGCTGGGTTGTGACTTCTCTGTGGGCAGGTGGGCAGCTTCTCAGTCGTGGCCTGTCAGCTCTTTCGAGCTTCATCGGGGCAGATGACAAGCAAAACTACCTGGGCAGCTTGGTCAGTTTCTGAGGGTCCTTGTGCTGGAAACATGGGAGCATGGCTCGGTCTCCCTGTGAGGTGCAAGTGTGAGGTTCACTGCAGGGAGGGCCAGCGAGGCTGGGTTCCTTCCGGTAGACCCAGGGCGAGGCCCGAGGGTCTCCCTCAGCAGCCCTCGCTTGGCCCCTGGGCCATCTGCTCACCTGTCCCGAGGGCCCAGCCTTGCAGGTGAGCCTGGGGCTCAAGGGCACGACTGGCCTGGGGCTCATTGGGTGGGCTTGGGGTCTTGAGCAGGAACAGGATGAGGCCCTACCCAGGCAGGATGCTTCTCCCAGATGGCAGGCAGAAGTCTGCCTCAGAGACGGAGGCCAAGGAGCGTGGCCAGCTGCCCGCGTGGTTCTGGGATGCTGGGGTGCGAGGTGGAGGAAGTCTGCCTCAGAGACGGAGGCCAGGGAGCGTGGCCAGCTGCCCTCGTGGTTCTGGGATGCTGGGGTGCGAGGTGCTTTCTTGGCCACCCACGGCTGAAAACGGCACGAGGTTGATTGGACAGCCTTGGGTCAGATCTGGCTGGGGCCGTTCCTCTGCAGGATCCGGAGGGGAGCCTTTAAGAGGCAAAGGCGAGGGCATGGCGAGGCTGCACCCTGGCCCTGAGCCTTCCCCTTGAGAGGTGGTCCCCCACCAGCACCCGCTTCCGACCCCAGGCCAGCCTCGCTGGTGAAGCCACAGGCAATCACACACACACACACACCCGGATTTGCTATGGACACCCAAGACCTGAACCCTTGAAGGAGAGAGGCCTGTGGGAACGGGTGCCGGGGGGGGTCTCCTTCCTGCCCCCCTCCTCGCCCTGGGTCCTGCTCATGGAGTCTCTGGGAACAGAGATCACAAACAGGGAGCAGCGGAGGGCCAGGTTGGGGGCAGCATTCGCCAGGCTCTGATGGCACTGGGCCACCAAGCCCTGGGAATCTGGGAAACCATGTGCCACACTTTTTGCTGGCAGGGGGCTGTGCATGGAAACCTCTAAGGACGCTCGGGCCGCGGGGCCTCATGAAATGCCTCTCCCTCTCCAGGCAGGAGTTCTCACAGAGGAGGCCGAGCTCCAGCTAGGCTCAGGGTCCTCTGGAATACAGGCCCTCCTTCTTGCATGGGCTCCCCCCCCCCCGCAGGGCACTGTCTTTCGAAGCACGAGACACAGTCCAGAGCCAGAGGGGAGCAGCTCCGGGTTGTGAGGAGCGTGGTCACGGCTCCCTGGCCTGGTCCCTCTTTGGGAGACAGCGAGCCCCCCCCCCCCGCGGACCAAGGACCTGGGCGGGAAGCAGCCCCACCCACAGGCCAGGGGGCTGGAGAGGGAGTTGTTGGGCAGGAATGCGGTCAAGTCGATCCTGACTTGTGGTGATCCTTTGCATGGCATGCTGGGGAGCGACTGTGGGTGCCAGGAAGCGGTTCACCCTTCCCTCCTTCCCGGACCGCCGTGATGCTCGGCTGGCCAAAGCTACACCGGCTGGCACTTCGCCTCGGAGGCAAAGGGGCTGACTGTATTCCCGACCTCTGGCTCCACAGCCAGGTGCTCCAACTCACTGATCCCACGGAGGAGGAGGAGGAGGCCACACTTCCGGTAATGGTACAGGATTCTTTGCATTCACA